TTTTAGTTAAATCACAGATTAGATACAAAAGTAGACCAATCATCTTATTTTCGCTTAAACTAACTGCCATACCGACTTAGAAGTTTGACATTGATTTCAGCGTCCTCTGTTCATAAATAAAACAGCTACGATAAAATAGTTATTAAAGTATTAATAAGAATCAAATCAAGAAATATATATTCATGTATTTGACAAATAGTTACTATTCAGATGCAGAAAAATTTTTATCAAGAAATTAAAATTGTGGCAAAATGAATCCAGCCGCCACAATTATATATTCTGTTGATAACGATGAAAGTGATATGAAAATGATAATGGGTTTTACAATTCAAAAATTTAGACCATAAAAATACGTTACATGATTATTCTATTTATCTATGATCAAATTCAAAATAAGTAAATAAACAAATTTTTATTATATTACATGTTCTAAAATACCAACTTCAAAAAAATCAAAATTTTTCATACGCCATCTGTATTTTATTATGGCAATCCTAGATTTGGAAATGGCAATCCTCCAAATTTATTTTGAACTCAATTATTAAGAATGATATATTTAAAAATTTTTCTTTATTTTGGACAAAAAATTTACCGCATCGTGCATAAGATAAATCCACCTTATTAAAATTTCATATTATATATACTAACTAATATTTTTTTAATAAAAAATTACAAAAAAATTAAAAACAAATTATATGATAATTTATAACAAATACGATATAAATAAAATAAAAAATAATATAAAAAAAGTTGTACTGTTTTCAAATGCAAACGATGATTATATGATATAACAAAGAAAAATGATTAAAATAAGAAATTGATATTTTGGAAACTGAAATATAATGAAAAAAATTTAATGAAAATTTAATGAAAAAAATCGAGAACAAAATTATGTTCTTCTGAAGAAGAGAAAAAAAATTCTTGTCTTATAGGAAATTTTTTAAAATTTTATATAAGTTATATTTTATATTTAGTTATATTTTATTTATTTACATTATATATTTTATGATTATTGTTTTTATTATTATTATTATTATTATTATATATTTTATGATTATTATTTTATTTTATGTTATTTTTGTTTTGTTAATTATTTTTATTTTATAAACAACATTACATATGCATATAATATTGAAATATATTATTTTAACGTAGTTCAATTTTTTATCATTTATTAATTGTTGAAATTTATTAATTGAGAAGATGTGCATATATGCATTTTCCACACAAAACGAAGACAGATTTTTTAAAACGATTAAAAAATGATCTATATAGACTTATTTTACAATGATATTGCTTAAATTTTATATGAACTACAATTTAGTTTATAAATTGATGATAATAATTAAACTTAATATATATTAATAATAATAATTTAGAATCAATGAAAAGTTCTGTAATAAAATTTAAATTGGTTAAATATAAAACTAATCAATAAAAAATCATAATTTTGTTAAAAGATTTTATGTCATGTTGTATAGTTGAAATGTTTTTTTTCGTTATACATAAAATACATGCATATAGATATGAATGTTGAACAGCATTGCATTGCATATAGATACTTGAACTGTATAAACCGAATGATT